TAACTAAGTCTATAAGATTGTCAAGATCTCATCAATGGAATGCGCTAAACTAATATTCATTCTCTGTATACGTTTATGACTTATTAATGCTTCATTCTTTCTATCAGCAGCGTGCCAGGCAAATCAAGATTGGCACTGCAGTTATTTTTTGTACTTTTCTTGCAGTGGGGTGAAAAATGGATGCATTATCCTTCAACCACGAGATTTTCATGCACCTGAGATGTGATTGATTAAATATAAATGGGAAAAAATCTTTTATCATGATAAAAGCAGTTTCACCTGCCTGTTCAGTTCAGTTTCACCTGCCTGAAAATCAGTTTCACCTGCCTGAAAAATTTGCAGTTGGTTAACCGAATTGTTGAGTTAAATTAAATGTGATTAGGCTTGGAGTTAATCTATACAAATTTGTTGTGTTTATAATTTCACAAACCTCGTGATTATTAGCGTTTGATCTAAGCTTCCGTTTTTCAAGCGGAACCGGCCTAAGTTACGCACTGCTGCCAGACTTCAGGGTATATCGAAGAATAGGGGAAAACTGTGGCTCAAAAGGAACCGATCTCATGATATAAATATTGGGAAAAGCATGATGATATGTTTGGTCTTAGTTATTTTTAAGGCCGACCGAGTTTTTGGCGATGGCCACCTTATAATTTTACACCATTCAGTAGGGCGACGACAAATGGTTTTAAGGTTAAGCCGAAAAATATGAGTGAGTGAACAATTGAACAAATATATTTTAAAACTCGCGCATTTTCATATAACCCACTTTTAACGGTAACGATCTTTTGTTTGCTTTTTACTTATCTTATTACAGAAAGCATTTTCAATATTAATTGCTACTTTATAGAGCATTGCAAAATGAACTAATTGAAGGATTTTCTGAGCAAGGCTAGCGAAAATATCCAAATTGATTCATTCTAAATTTCCTTTAAATGCTAAAATATGGAGACAACATTTTTAGCTAAAAATAAAGTGGTACATTTAGTGAAATTTGTCTAAATTTCGACACCAGTCATTATGGTCAGAACAGAATTTCAAGTTTAAATTTGAAACAATAGCCGGTTATCCAGATAATCCGCATCGTTAAAAATGAAAACTTAACATTCGTAGTCTGAACTGTACCTCTATCAGCACGCAGTTGTCCTTAATCTTACTAATAAACAAGAAATAGTTTGTGTCGTCAGCTAAAAAATTTTAAACACAACGATTTCATTCACCTGATAATATCCCCAAATTCCATTTGTATCAGAAGTTCGAGTTAATCTTCGCAACACGGTTTGTCACGATGCAAGATTTTCTCGGGATTTGTCTCAATGGACCTCTGGAATCTGATTAATTTTGGAAAGTCAACCCAATCCAATATTACCTCGAAATAGTAAACGACGTTTGTACGATTTTTTAGATCTGAATCACCCAAGTTTGTGTGGCAAACTCACATATTAGGATGCTTGGTATCTACAAATTCGACTGCAAGCCTGCAAGCAATCTGCATCAACTTCAGGTTGGTTGATGCAGTTCAGTTCGTAAGCCAGGAATTATAGGTTATTTGGAAATTTTGTGACCCGTAAAATTGATGGTTTCTATGGCCCAACCAGGTATTTATACGTTATTCTGTACATGTTAAAATTCTCATGCATACACGATTTTTTTTTGTTTCTTCGTAGAATGCGTAGCTAGGAACTATTTTCATGAATGTTTACCATCACTTTCGTTCAACATTTGCCGTAATCATAAACTTATTTCGACGCAGTTCTCTGTGCACGTATTGTTTCAAACCCTCAAGTTTGTGACGCAGGATTTTTACTTGTAGACATTTTCAGACAACTGAAGCAATTAACTGATTAAAGTCATAATATTACGGTAAATTTTAACAAAGGAATCGAACTTGGCCAGACAAAATGTCAAAGCTGAATAGACTAAAAAGGAAGGATATCTACACAAACAACTGAATTGCTCGATATCTGACTTTGGATGAGCTGCAACAAAATACTGCAGCTAAAATGAGCTATTTTTCGAAAAATTCTGCAGCATACTTCTATCCTATTTTTCATTGCTCAGAATATTGTTTGCATCTCATGACTACAGTAAATTATTTGGCAGGAGCGGCTCACTTTCTGTGTGCCTGCAGCCAGCGAAGCGGACGCTAAACTTATACTCTCCACCTTTGATATGCTGCTGCTGTATAATCACGTACAGGGGGGTTTGAGGTCAAAGTTTTCACTCGAGCCATTTTTCCCAAGAGCTCACAAGATAGAATCTTTTGAAAATTGGCACAGACACGTACGCATATTTTGTGTACCAAACCTTCTTGACGGAATACCGAAAATTCCAATCCTTCCGCCCCAGAATCCCCTAAAAAGGGGAAAATTTTGTCAAAAAATTACCTAAAATGAGGTTGCGGAAACGATCACAGCTCGAAAAGTTGAAAACTCAGGGCAATGCGCTTGATTAGAAACTAAAGATAAAGTGTTGGAGTGTGTTTGGGATTTCGAACGATTTTTTGTCGTGTCAACACTTCATCCCCAAAAACTGGGGTCAAATTTGAGCCTAAAAAATTTTTTTTGGACATTTTCGATGGTTTTTCAACTCTCACGGCCAAACCGTAAACATTTTTGCCATAGTGAAAGCGGGAAAAAGATGCGTCTCGTTGAGACAAACACGCTGGTGAAAACGGATTTTGAAAAAGTTTAAAAATCACGAAGTTGTGAGGAAAACTTTGATCAACTTTTTTACATTTTTCTTCACAACTCTACGGAAAACTTTTGTAAATTTTTAACAACTTTATTCATACAGCGCAAATCTTTGCCTTTAATTTGATTCCTGTTTCATGATCTTAGCTTCTATTGAACTCGAGATATGATTCTTCAAAGAGGACAAGAATTTGCCGAATTTTCGTCGGAATCGCGTAACTTCGAGAACTTGCCTGAATATGTTTTCAACTTCTTTACTCGTAAGATTACTGTGCGAGCTGCGTATTTCCTGGAATCTTTCTGAAAGTTGCAATCAACAGAGGATAAATATAACTTATATAACTTATTTTCAAAATATTATTTCTTTAAGAAACGTGATTAAAATTAGACTAAAAATTTGCTTTTTTCACTTTTTGAGCTCATATTTGGGCATCTTAATTTTAACATAGAAGCATCATTTTTATATGGGTACCTGCTTCAGCTCTTTAGAATTAATAATGCGAAAGAAAAAAGCTCAAAAGTTCTGTAGAAAACGGTTTTCGTGAAACATTAATATTGCTCCGTGCCCGAATGACCCCGGTCCGTAACTGAGATTTTTGGCTCTTTCAAGGTCTTTTAACTCGGTAACGATCAGGATTGAAGAAAATTGACACGAATAACAATGAAAAGAAAACAATAATTCCCTTTTAATGGCCCCGAGTGTTGAGCTCGGGGCCCTGACGTTCCCTGGATATCGGCCGTCACACAAGATTCCAAGTAGAATTTCGCTCAAGCGTATTACGACGTACGATGACCACCGGCGTGCAGGAGTAGGCAGCACTCGTAAATGCGACTAGTAAGTTGAGAAACTGTTACCTTAAGAAGTCTTGAAGCTGTGTTTCTTGCAACCATCGCCTAAGTATTCGAACTTTTTGCACTGTTTACTTTGATCGAGGAAAACCGACACCTAGGTTATTGAAGTTTGGAGTATTTCGGCCGGAGTTCGCATTTCCAACACGTTCAGTGAGTTTTGGAAAAGCGAACTCTGGCACCAATCATCCACGGTATGGAAATAGATCAGGTAGGATATTAAAGATGTCGTAGAATATACGTCATTTGTTGATGTTAGGTTCAAGCCAGGAACAAGGTCCTATGGCGACCATGACAAAGGGTGGTTAGGTTAGGTAAGGCAAGGTTAGTACAGGCTAGGTTAGGTTAGGATGGATTGGTCAAGTTCGGTTAGGTTGGGTTATGTTAGGTTAGGACAGGTTAGGATATGTCAGGCTGTGTTCAGTTCGATTAGGTTAGGGTTTTTTGGCTAGGTAAAATTTATGTAAGATTGTTTTATACACTAGTGATACACACAGGAAAAGGTCACAATTGGGGGATTGCTGTGTGTAGTAGGAAATGTGTGGTAAGAAGAAGAAGAAAAGAAAGAGAAGAAAAGGAAAAAAAGTATAGCGGCTGATCCGGTTCATAAATCTTTCAAATCCGCCAGCGTATTTGCTTAACAATCCGAACCGAGGCAATTGAAGACAAACCAAGCCTATCATGCTAAGGAGCTCGGTACGGTTGGGCTGGGTATGAGTTTGCTGGGTTGGTTTGGGTATGAGTACTCTGATATACATGGGTATAGATCTCTGTTACAATTTTGATATTATTCCGGCCCGTCTGCTTGAAGTGATTTCATTGTAGAAAACTTAATTGTCTTCAAATGATCGTCCGGTGTCCAGAAAATGAAAAGATGCAGTGAGGCGTTCATCAGGGACATAATGTTCCGTAATTGTTATTTTGATATCTATTTCGTTTCAATTGGTCTAAATCTGTAAATTAACGTCTTGAATGATGATATCCTCTAATAGCTCTGATATCCTCTTCACTCTCATTCCTAATTAAATTGGACAAATTCAAATGAATATCTCAGTCTTTTCAGTACCCAAATATTTTACTTCATTCCCGTTATTCCGCTCTATTTTATATACAGTATACCAAGCTCATTTAACGTGCTAACTATAGCGGGAACTTGCTTGGACAGACACGAATGATTTTTTTCACAATTGGACGTGACCAGCATGACGATGAGTTAGGTGTAACATGAAAGATCGCATAATTCGCCTTGCGATCACTAGTCTGCAGAGCGCGGTGAATGTGACTCGTATCTGACCTTCATTCCTAAGACCCTTAAAATTTTTTAAAAACCAATCATACAAAAATTATCCATGATGTATTTCGGAATTTCGAAGATTCGTGTGTCCATCATTTCTTTTCAATCGAATAGAATTTTTTCGAAAAAATAACGTTTTGTGAAAGGTTTCGTTGTTAAAACTTCCATGCAAGCAGAATTTTTATTTTATGACTTCCAAAATCTGTTTACTTTAAATAATGTGCAAAAACCAGTTTGAAAAACTCTCAGGAGACATGCAGTTAATGCTCCCCCTTGAAGTAGACCTTGACGATGGTGTAGGCGTTGTTGTCCGAGGACAGGAAGACGCGCTCATCAGGAATGGGGCGGTCCAGAGGGAAGCCCATGGGCTGGTGGTCGGGGTACTTCTCACCGTGAATGCCGCACTGGGTGTGGCTCTCTGTGGTAGCATCCTCAAGAGCATCGTGCTGTTCATCTGATTCACCATCGGTAACTGAAACAACCAAGGCAAATTCCATTCCGTTCTCGGTACCCTTGGGAAGGAGCATCCTGTTAGGGATTCCGCAGGACCTGGCGTAATGCGCAAAGTCAAAGTCGGAGCTGCCGGCAACGGCCTTGTCAGCTTCAGTAATCAGAGTTTGGAAGCTTGGCACGTCGGGCACAGTGACGGAGGAGTCTGAAGATTTGCGTTTGATGACGTTGTCACCAGCAGACACTGATGAAAGAAACATAAAATTCTTTAAAACTTGCGCACACGAATCTAATTAATTATCCAATATTCATTCATGTTGATATATTAACTGAAAGCTGTAAATACCTCCTCATTTGCTGCAGCAGGGAAAACTTAAACAGAATTTTGTGAATGAGGCGATTAATTTTGGAACTCACGTTTTGTCCAGAACTTGTCCATCTCAATGCAGTTCCAACGGCCTTCTTCGAAAGTGTAGATGATTCCGTTGCTGTCACGACGAGGGCACAGGAACACTCGCACAACTGCGTGCTTAGCGACGTCGCTTTTGATGTCAAATTCGTAGGTGAAGTCGTTATGGTTGAGGCGAGAAACGGTCGCGGACACAGCAACTTCTTTGACGGATTCGCTTGAGTCAACAGCCATCCTCAGATCAAACTCGAAATCTTCGAAGAAAGTTTCCAATTTTCCTTCAACTCCAATGCTGGTCAGGTGAACTCCAGGGAATCCAATTTCCTCCGCAGTATAGGGAGGAAGGGAGTCCTTGTGCTCCTTGAAGATGTTGTCCATGTACTTGTGCAGCCTGAAGAAGGCAGGATCGCGAGTAGCTGTTTCGAAGTGCTCCATGACACTAGGAGGAAGGTTGAATTTGCCGTGAGGATCAGCTTGACGACCCAAGATGACGTGGGCAGAATTGTGGAGGGCACCGTAGTACTGGGCGTTGGGACTGTAGAGAGACGATTCTATAATATCACCGAGATGGTCGATGCCCTCAGAGTTCCTGATGTCGATCTTCGTTCCGTCGGCAGCGGTGATGTACCCCTGTGCAATGGCATCGCGGATGCGGCTCTCGTGGATGATCATGTCACGGACACGGACGATACCGTCGACATCTTCGAATCTTGCGTTGTCAGGACGAGTCGGGAACTCACCGCCGTACCTGTACGTTGTGTGCGGAGCAAAACCCTCCTTGATGGGCCTGTCCCAGTAAAGTTCGTCAACAACATCAAGGTTGTTGGACAGGCGCTCGGCATCAAATCGTACAGTAAGCTGGTGATGAGCCCAGAAGAAGAGTTCGCCCTTGCGATCAAGATGATAACCGTAAGCATCGTTCCACCAGAAGGGGAAGTCCAAATGCCAGGTGACGTGATGAACGTTCATGCCAATATCCTCACCAAAGTAGGCAACACGCTGTTCGGAGTTCTTCTTACTTCCTGTGAATTCCATGCTGAATTTACCGGGTGTCTGAGTCATCTTGGCAGTGTATGCTTTTTGGATCACTTCTGAGTTGGTGAACATGTGGGGGGTGACTTCGTAAAGAGGAGGCAATACGATACCAGTTCCAAGATCGGAGTGAATCACTGCCGCGTACAGAGCGTAGACAAATTCTCCCTCGTTGACACGTTCTCGGAAATAAGCAGCGTTGTTGACCGCTGTCTCCCAGGTCTTGCTGTTCATTAGAACATCGAAGAGCATGAGGGCTTCCTCCCGCTGACGGGTGTTGAAGAGCGAAAACCAGTGATGCTTCTCGAGCAGGCGGTGATCTTCCAGTTCCTTCAGGAGCCGTTTGACTGCCACGCCATCATCCTTGTAAAGCGAGGTGTCAGCATCGGGATGGAAGTTGGCAGCAGCGGCTTCCAGCTCATCGAATCTAAGTGGCTCCGTAGATCTGTACAGCAGACGATTGACGGTTTGCTGTCGGTGAGCCAAGTCAGCTGCAAGGATATAAACGACCTTAGACGAAGGGGCGGAGAGAACTGGAAATAATTAAAATACGACTTATTTTCGTTGTTCTCATGAACAATGAACTCATTCGGGACAACTGCTAAAATGTTCTCTATAGAATAATAAATTATCAGTAATGAGTGGTGTAGACATCGCATTTATAACTTCCAGAAAATGTTGCATGTAATTGAAGAACGAGTGTGACGATGAGAAAATAAATTTGAAATTAGTAAAAAATGGTTGAAAATATTAATTCCTAGAAGCGCGTCATTTCCACCAATTGGTGGTGAACTAAATGTCACTATTAAATACTTAATAAGATTAACCTTATTTGCGAATATGTTAATCGATTATTTTTTCACAAGCAACAACCAGATCTCAAGGCTCATTTTGTTATGACAACCAATGTTTCAATTGAAAGCATGTTTTCAGGCCTAATCTTTCGATAAATTTATGTTCTAGCTAACTGGCGCCAAGATGTGTGCATTTAATGATTTAATGAACTCATGATGTAGTGGCAACATCAATTTCTTACCGTGAGCTACAATATACAGAACATGGATGAAAAAGTTCTATGACTCTGTCATGAAATGTTCTATGACATGACTCTGTCGATCATGAAATGTTCTATGACATGACTCTGTCGATCATAAATGTTCTATGACATGACTCTGTCGATCATTAAATGTTCTATGACATGACTTCTGCGATGTTAAGAATCGGCGACAGGCCTACGGCCTACTAAACGCTGAAACCGCTATTTCATTTCATTTCATGACTCTGATATCAATATGTTTTACGACATGTCTCTGCCATGAAATAAGATGCAATATTACTCAAAATTATAACTTATTTGCGGTATATACGATCGCGAATCATCATAATTATCGTTGACGAACTGTAGAGTGTGACTGTAATTACTTACGCGGAGAGTCGCTGAGCCACTGAGGCCAGGCGCTAGCGCCAACGGCGAGGCAGAGGACGGCAAGTACCAGCTTCATGTCGATTGGAACTCCAGCTGAACACAAAATTTCTAGCGTGCATCCCATCTTTTATAGCCGTAAAATCAAGCACTTGTCACCGCGCATTAGACCAAACTGCTTCAACTGCTGATAACGTGAAGCAGGCCTACTTGACCGAGCCCAGATTAATGTCGAAGGAGTGGATTATTGAAGGATGGTTCGATCGAATACAAATTGATTTATTTGCCTTAACTGGACCATTTAATTTGTTGGAATATGATCACGGCAAATTTTACAGTTTATGTCGTGACATAAACTTCTTGAAAAAATCGAAAGTCGAAATTTTTGAGAAAACATGTCAAGGCCACGACAGTGAAATAAAAAGAGTTTTGATCTATCTAGCAATCTCTTTCAGAATATGCTCAGAACATACTTTCGCAACAACTTAAGATTTCTCTCTACAGAAATCACATGCTCAAAAACCATTTAGCTGTAAAAATTTCGTCACAATGTTACCTATGCAGGAATTAAAATATTAGAAGTTGAGTCGTACACATTTTCATGCGAATTCACTCTATTTAATGTGTTTATTCGCTATTTTTAGCGATGAGTATTTTAATTACATCAAAAAGCAACAATCAAAATTTTACTTCTCTGATCGAAAAAAAAGCAGTGTGAGTGGAGAGGAAACAATGCAGCCTAGAAGAACTCCTTCGTTTACAAAATTTTAACCCAGGATTGTACTCGAAAATATAAATTTAGTGAAGTATCCTGTAAAGACCGGTGGTTCAAACGTAGCTATATATATTCTAGCCCAGACACATCGCATTAACAGTGTTATTTAATGTTGACGGTTAGCCTAAAACTTCAAAAAGAGAAAACAATAAACTCCCGCTTTGTCTTGCAATCCGTTACCCGTGAAAATTATTAATTCACTTCATGTTATTTCATAAAATCTTCATGTGCCTTTAACTTAACATTGAATAAGAAGTTCGACCACCAATTGAAATACTCTCAGAGCATATATTCTTTTGTTGGGCTTTCTATGTTTCTTTCAAGGCCGTTATTATTGTCGCATGCTCGCTCATGCATGTGACCTACGGACTTCTTGAGAAGTTATCTCCATGCCAGCCTAACAACACACAAACAAATGCATATTGCCGAAATAATTTCACTGACACGTGATAAATAATTTCTCTGGTTTCTCACGCAGCAGAGAGTGAAACGAATAAACAGTGTACGGCAAATAGAAGTTCAAATTTTAGGCTGGGTTATCTGTAGCTTATTTTTATTTCAGAATTACTGGAGTAGCATATAATACGTGTCTGATTGGTTTCTAAAAGAATTAAAAAATTTTACATATCGCTTTTCGAAATAGGATGGGGATTCGTGGGCATTCGAAAATTCTTAAACGAAGTAAGCATAAGAAAATAACAACCCCTAAATATTCAACCTCTGCAACAGGATGTAATTCGTGCATTTTAATAATTTTCTAAGCCTGTCATGTATTTTGTGACGCTCTATCTTGAAGTCTTTAAAGGCGTTTTATCTCACAAACCTAACAATTGGAGAACCAGCTTCTTTAGCTTCTCTTCATTTCGTTCTAATTTAAATGGGATATTCAAACACTAATGCATCGCGGCTTTCGTATTTTCTCTTTCATGCTATGCACTAGGAATTTCACCTTCTGTCCAAATAAAGGTTACTCAGCAGTCATTGTGCATAGTCAAATCAAGAAGTTTATGTCTAGTTTTCGAGTGCAAGACTAGGAACGTTGTTTATTTTTAATTTTTGTACTTTAGGAAGTTTTATAGTTTTTGAATCCCTAAAAATAATTCATACTGAAGCCTTGTTTAAATGCCGCGCTCAGTTCTTATTCCTCTTGATATTAGAAATCGCTAAGGCTGTCTGCTTTTGGTTATTTTGAATATATTTGTATTTTATTTATAAATTTAGGGTTGCGACTGCAAATTCTGGATTACTGTTAGATTTTACTTGCATTTTAATATTGTAGAACTGACGATGGAACAGAACTCCGAAACGTGTCATTTTATAGACAATGTTTTTTCTTTTGGTTTGTATATGATGCCTAGTAAATTTTTTATCATGCTTTGCAGGGATTAAATGTCAATTAAATATGGCAGAAAATCACTTGGTAACCCGTCTCTTCGTAGATAAAATAATATAAACAGTGTCCTATGTTCCATGCCTATTTTGCCAGGTCAACAGCCGTTTTTCTCAGAATTTTAGTATGGTGGGCTTTTTCAACCACATTGCAAATGCAGATCTGTTAAGTGCAGAGATAAAGCCACTTAGAAGACCAAGTAATGTCTGGGCCATCTTGACGGAATGTCTTGATCTCGATCTCACGGCTTTTTAACAGTAAGGTGACAATCTCTCAATCGATTTCTCTACTTATTCTGCTCAAACGCGCTCCTGCAAAACCGTTAAAACTAAAATTCAACATAGAAGTAATGTTAACGATTTATTTGTAACTATTGGGAAATTATAGATTGGTTTGTGTATTCAACATTCTTTTATTGGAACAAAATCCAGTCTGTTGTCTTACTTTCAAAAACGGAGCCAACTCAAGTTCTAGACAATCAATCGATCGAGCTCATCTTTGATATTAAAAGTAATAAACACAAGCGGCTGTGTTTGTGAGAGACGCTGCATGTGAAGAGTGAAGTGCATGTATCTCCTCTTTTACGTACATATTCTATGCTCTCAAACTTAAAACGTATAGTAAAATAGAACTTGGTTCAACATTTTTTTATCCCATTCTCTTGAGATAACTTATGTATTACGTATGTGACGAATATATAAACTCAACTGAAAATTATGCATACAAATTTTGAAATGTTCATCTGTCATTTAGAGTATTGTTTTATTGCATTAATTGTTGCATAGTATTGTCTCGAATGGTATTGTTGACGATATATTCTCTCATTCGCAACTTAGCTTGTGCTGTGACTGCTCTCGTATATACGTGATCGTTGGAATGTCGTGCTCAATTCCCTGCGTTGCCAACGCCGTGCTGTTGCAATACGACCGTCTGAGGCTGCTGCCGTGCATTTCACGTTGCCGAGCATTGCCGTTGTTCAATTGGTTCTGCATAAACATATTAACACGTCCCCTTTCTTTGGCCATGGACAACATCTTCAAGGTGCACAAGGACTCCCTTCTTCCTTACACTACAGAATAAATTTGATTCCCAGAGTTCACCTGACCAGTATTGAAATCGAAGAAAAATTATAAACTTTCTTTGAAGATTTAGAGTTCGATCTAATGATGGCAATTTACTCGAGCGAATCAGTTAAGGAAGTAGATTTAACTGCAAGTGTCTCTCGCCTCAGTCATAACGACTTCACCTACAAGTTTAAGATCAAGGGCGAAGTGGAAGAGCACGCTGTTGTGCGTATGTTCCTGTGCCCTCGCCGCGACAGCAATGGAATCATCTACATTTTCGAAGAAAAACGCTGGAACTGCATTGAGATGGAAAAGTTCTGGGCCAAGTCTGAGTATTTCCTGTTTCAACCAACAAGCTCATATTAGCGCCGAGCCAACAGTGGTATATATATATATATTTTTTTTTTTATTTCAACCACTATATTCTCTGTGCAAAATCCGATACATCCGAATGTATTCCGAAATAAACATTTGCAGTTTGCCTGAATTTACTCTATTTCCACAGTGTTTGAGGAAAACAACGTCATCAGGCGAAAATCTTCCTACTCCTCCATCACTGATCCTGATGTTCCAAGCTTCAAAACATTGATGGCTGAAGCCGATAAGGCCATTGCCGTCAGCTCCGTCTTGACTTCGCCAAATACCACCGGTCGTGTCAAATAATGTAATATTTGAAGAAGACTAAATGCGCGTCATGAGAGAACTTACTCCAGTTGGAATGTAAATTTTAGTTTAATCTTTAGGCAGCCTTAAACTCAACTATAGTCCATACGACCCAAACACCTACTTGCCTTTAAATTGTTCATATCATTTGTTGTCCGTGCTTCTTTTGAAATTCTAATGAAGAAAAAGCAGGGCCTCGGCTGTGATGACAACGCTGTCGAGGCAATAGGAGGAGGATTCTTCATCGTTTAACAGCCCTGAGAAGAGGTCGGCGATAAGACTGGAGTGATCAGGGGGGAGCCGGATGGCGGAACACACAACGTCTGGTCAAGTGTTCAATTGTTGAACTCTGGCTGCCTCCGCGGATTCATGATGAGCCTCTAAGTCTTCTCTACACCCGCCGGTCCGGGTTCGGTGACTTCTGCGCCCTGTACCCTGAGCCTACTGTCCTACCAACTACCTGACCTTGTCCTACTGACCATACACTGTAAGTCCGGCAACTTGAATGCGCAATTTATTGTCTAGGATGGGGTTTGGGTCTAGGGATCATTAGCCGCTTCACGGCCTTGAATTATAATAAAGCTGAAGAGCCGATGAAATTGATAAAATTGATAGAACTGATTTTAGAAAGGATTTAACAGATTTATATAATTGACGGAACGATTAATTTAATAGATTTGTACGCGTGTTAACCACGCCCCGATATTGCACGTCCACAATGATTATCATCATCGTACGTGCCTAATTGATTATATTTTCGTTTGGAAGGTGACGCGAGAAACTACAACCCTGACGTCATCTACCCTACGATCCATCGGCTGTTTTCATTGAGCGAAAGTTGGCGGGATTTTGCGCAGCGTCATAACCGCCCGCGGTTTTTGATTTTCTACACGTACGGATATATTAAATATAATATATTTGAATGAGTCTACATTTCTAATTGTCCCGCCATAAAGTTTTCGTTAGGTCCGAGGTCGTGCAGTTTCCCTAACTGTATGTTGCTGCCTAAAGGTACCGAGAGCGGCATGGAGTTCGCTTTGGTTGGTGTACAGTTACAGATGGAAATTGGTGGTGCACGGCTGCGCTCCTGTTCGGGGTCGCCTGCCGAAGACCACAACTGCCTTGAATGTAATTGACCATGATTCCTGCCTTCTGGAACGTAGCCTTCAACACTGCAAGTCGTCCGTATCTAGGCCGTGGGTCGAACCAGCCCTCG